CACACACACACACACACACACACACACTCACACACACACTCACCTCGCAGCTTCCAGAAGTTCATCCTTCTTGTATTCGCCTAAAAGAAATACACTCAAGATTAAAAGACTAGCATTTCAAACACATTATCGACCCTGCATTCAAACCTTCACTGAGTTTATTCTGGTATTTAAACTAACTTTTATGCAAGCTGAGTTACACACACATTGATCTATTCAGACATTTTAGGTCAGCTGCACCAACACTTTCCATTCATGAGCATTAATTTCTTTACAGAGTCTGCACTCTTTTACAGAAGCACTACAGAAGTGTTTTATACAGCAATTATTCTGTAGAGCACTCGTGTCTGACTCTAGGCCTGTGGGCTAAATGTGGCCAACAGGTGACTTACTTGGCTGACAATTAAAATTTTTTATATCAACAGTAAGCTTTAAAATTTATGATTCAACACAACAAAATAAACACATTTAAAAAGGTATAAGATCATAACACTGATCCAACTCCTTTGGCTTTGAGTAACTGTGAACCCCTGAACATGAATAGCCCTACTACTGTCTCTTAAAGACAGCAATGGTCATAAACTACATCTCTCATAATGCCTGATGATTATAGCTGAAACAATTCCACAAATAATTTGAGTAATTTGAATACTAAAACTCCTCGAGGCATATTACCAGAGGAAAAACATTTTTTCTTTTTCTTGTTAACAGCAGAAGATGAAAAAAAAAGGATGTTCACGTGCTCACAAATCTACTTCTGCTTTCTGAGCGCAGCACTACATTTTCAGCAACAAGCGAAAGCTCACACTGTACGGCAGGCCATTTTAACATCTGAAATTATGACTAGACACATTTGTTATCTGAGATATGTTTAATTATATTTTGACTAGTGAAAATACCTACTTGAGATATTCTCTAATTACAATCTGACTAGTATAAATGATGTCAGGATTACCATTAAGATGTATGGAGGCTCCAACTCAAGATATAAATGTATTTTTAGATATGAGAGAGGTTATAAGGTTCAACTAATAATAATAATAATAATAATAATAATAATAATAATAATAATATAATGCAAAACAAATAGCAGACCTTCTCAGGTTCTGCATTTTTTTTAATCTCCATGCGCTTTTAATAAATACTCGGAATGTGTCTGATGTCAATCATCGTTGTTTTCAACATAAACATATCAAATTGAGGTTTTTAATCAAACTGTTACAGTGCTCTTTATGCTTTCCATATTCTAACTGCACAGTTTTGTAATAGATTTTTAAAATTCAACCACTTTCAAGAATTTCAAGCACCCGTATGAATCCTGTTAATCTAATCTCCTCCCTAATCAGCACACTCTGTCTGCCTAGGTCCATAATTTTGAGCTGCACACAGAAATCCCATGAATGCTTGTGGACTGGACCAGAACGTTAGCTTTAACAGTATATCCTCATTTATTTTAACATGTCTATATAACAAAGACTGAAACATGCTGACAAGAATGATAAAATTATATGAATTTTAAGACCAAAGCAGTTAATAAATGGTTTAATGTTCGAACACATTATGACCTCAGACACCGTCACTGTCTTCTCTGTAATTTCACAGAAAATGTGAAACATCATCTTCACACAGTAACATTCAGTAGTTGTTTTTTTTTAGATGAGCAGAAACTGTCAGCAGCAGAGGATTTAAACTGCAGATTAAAGCAAACAGGGGAAAAACTGAACCAGTTTGAGTGACTTACACGACCCCAGTGTCAAATTTAACAAAGACCCCGTGCTGCACAATGTGAGAAAATCCTGTCATCACATTACTAAATACTGTAATGATAATCAATTCAGGTGTGGCAATCCCATTTTGTAATCATGATGCTCACAACATTTCATTTAGTCAGCTATCTTACTGACAGGTAATCAATGATTTAATTTTTTACTTTATGTTATGGAGATAATTGTCAAATTAACTTTTGTATTATAAAATGAATATGGTCTAGTTTAAACTTACACTATACTTATACTTTCTTAGCCTGGCCCTTGCCTTCCTACGCAGCTTCACTCAATTCTAGTTTCCCTTCTCCGCTCCGTCTGGGATTTCTCCCATTGAGATGGATTTCGCTGGCAGATTTTTAGCCGGGCCTGTCAGAGAACAGAACATCAATTTTGTGCGCAGTGTCTGCTTGTAGTTTATTTTACCTGAGCCAGAGAACAGAAGGAGGAGTTTTGAACGACGTCGATGTTCTGCGCATTGTCTGCTAGTTATTTTAAGCATACGGCAGAGAAGGAAGAGAATGAAGCCAGTCTGTGTTAATAAGGCTTCCAAATTAAAATAAATTTGTCTGACAAAGCAGCAGCTCTCATTTACAGTCGTCTCVTTCGGCTCGGTATATTTCTCCTCTCAGTAGGGTTGTTTACAGCACATGTGATTTCCGGTTAGCTTCTTAGCTTAGCCTCCTTCACACCGACAACACACACATGCTTCAGCAGAGGCCACGCCTCCTGCAAGAATCGATTCTTTATGCATCAAGTCTAGACCTTTGTACAAAGCAAAGTGAAAAACAGGGTCTGGTTTAAACCAGGCTAATACTTTATAATTACTTTAAAAAAAGAGATGATTGAAAAAGCTGAACACATGCTGTTAGGTTTATCAAAATTAAGCTAATGACTTTACTGTGATTTTCAATCCTACATTCTGATGTGTTACATTTAACTCGTTTGCGAGGAATTTATGCCATAACTTTTAAAAATGGCAAGAGACTGCTCTTTACTTAAACATGAGATTGTAACAGCAACAGTTTTGGTGAATATTTTAGAAACACTCATGTGTGGAACAATTATTTAGGTGAAACATTTATTCAGTGTGAGGGGACTGACCTGTAAGAACAGCCTTGGCTGAAGGATCAGCAAGATCCAGGGCCGATTTGCCATCGGTGTTGCGAATGTTTGGATCAGCTCCATGCTGGAGTAACACTGAATGAGAAGGAGAGATCAGTTATAATTAACTTTAGTTAAAGGGCTATTGTTATTCATATATCGCCTTCTATCACTCAACGTGCCAAGCATTACTAAAAGACTGATGACTCGACAAAAACCTGACAAATGAACGGCAGGGGTACCTGTCAGCATCCTCAAATTTAAAAAAACAACATACCTCAAGATTATATTTTCATATTCACACATTTTCCAGTACTGAAACTAGTGATACACGAGCAAAATGGGAAAAAAAATCCTTAAAAGATGTATTTTCAACTTTTTAAATAAAAACACCAAGGATCCTTACCTATACAAACATCTATTTTTCCTTTGATGGCTGCCTCATGTAATGGGGTGTAGTTCCAGTTGTCTCTGGCGTTTGGATCTGCACCTTGACACAAAAGGAGGCTGACGACCTCTGCATGTCCGAAGGAGCAGGCGTTGTGCAGAGGTATGAGACCTCCATCGTCCCTGGCGTGAACATTAGCTCCTGTCTGCAGGAGATGCTCGACCACATCTTTTCTCCCAAAACCTATAAGAAGCATCGACACATTTTTACTTTTCTCTCCAAGAATGTAGCAGGCAGGCAGACTAACGTTTGACAGTCAACGCCACATAAAATCATTTCAGTACCATTACACACACACACACACACACACAAATAATAATAATACAATATCAGTACAAATAAAAGTGTGTTTTGTCTCTTTCCGTTAGAAAAAAGCTCTACAAGCTTCCTTGGATTTTTTATTTGTTATAGTCAAATATAAAAATAAACCTCAAATAAACATTTTCTGCAGATAAACTGTCTTAATTGGGCCTTAAGGGTTTTATATTTATGTTTCTGTGTCAGTTTGGTTTAAAACCTTCTTAGTCCTGCTCTCTTTGGCTGAACCGTGGCTACTGCTGTTGAATTTTTCTATTGGTTAAACGGCACAACTCCTGTGTTTGTGTATAAAAGCCTCACTCTGTAAAGCGAACACTGCGATGAAAGCTTGTTACTGTGAAAAATCTTCCTCTGCTGTGACACAACCTGCATTTGTAGATTACAATATAATCTGCGTCTTACCACGGTTGTATCCACGCTGCTGCATAATTTTAGTCAATCTTTGTGCAGGTAAAGTTTGTTTTTATTTCCCTCTCTGCCCAAATATAAAACAGGACTTGAGGAAAAACCCACAGAGTTTAAATCTAGTGTTTTGATTTAGGAAACCCTCAGCTTGGAAGTAAGAAAGGGGTGTTTTGAGGGATAAATAGTTTAACTTTACCTTAATTATAAAATAATGAGCTACCTATTCCACAAAATCTCATAATTTTAAAGCAAATGAACTTCTGAAAAATCACTATACGTTTTACAGCTCAAGTTAATCCATCAATATCAAGTCATTAACTATAAATAAGTTTCTAACTTGTTGGATTTTAAAATTCTGTTATATTAGAATATTTACACACTTGTAAGATCCTTGTTTAAATTAATGTTGTATAAAGGTTGTTTTATACTCCATTTAAAAGTAAAAAGAATTATCTTGTGTGACGAAAACATAATTTTGTTCCTGCTGTAAATTTTTTCTGGTCCTTCTTGACATAAAGCCTGGGCCAAACGTTTTCCTCACATGAGTATGCACACTGCGTGATCGGTCAGAAGTTGACCTTCCTGCAGCTTCTGCAGACAGATGCTGAGATGGAGTCTCTGTTGTGCATTTCTGACAAGTTCACACAGTAATTTGTCAACTTTAAAGACGAGAAAAAAAGGGAGTCTTGTTAATCTGGTTAACCGAACACTGTAAGAGTCCAGACACTATTCAGTCCTGAGATTGCCTGACGGAGCACAGCAGAGGTACAAAATTTATCTTGCTTGACACTTTGTATCCATAATATCCTTCTGTTAATTTAATGTGAAATGCTTGTAGTCTTTTAGATTTTCATTGTTTGACTGTTTTGATGTGATGTGGTGAAATGTTTTTATTAGAAACTATACCTAGAAGGAAAAATAAAGAAAAGTAAGGACGTTTGTGTTTGGTAGATTATTTTTTTGCTGTAACAATGCTTTAAAAAATCTTACACCAGGCACCTGAGTGTCAGCACCTGGGGGGTACTAGAAGCTCAAAGCTGTGTCAATAGTAACAGCAAAATAAGCTAATTTTTCTTATGCACAATCCACCTATTCAAATCTATTGCTAACCTCACAAATACATGTTCCTTATAAATGTGGCACCATTTAAAAAGGCAATTTAACAAGCTTTCCATCCATCATCTATACTCGCTTCTTCTTTTAACAGGTACTAAAAAGAATGAACACATAACCCCGGTCCTCGCTTCTCTCCACTGGCTTCCTGTTCACCTGAGAAATGATTTTAAGTTTTTATTGTTGGCTTTTAAAGCCTTTAATGGTTTGGTCTCATCATATTTATGTGATCTTCTTAACATCTACACTCCAGTCAGAGCACTCAGGTCTACCAACCAGTTTCTGTTAGACGTTCCTAGATCCAAACTGAAATCTAGAGGTGACCTGGCTTTTGTAATAGCTGCTCCAGTCTGCCTCTTGCAATTCCGTCAGCAGAGACTATTGAGGCTTTTAAATTTTTGCTGAAGACCCATCTTTTTTCTTTGGATTTTGATTAAGACCGAGTTGGAGGTTCAGTTAGAGCTTTGTATAACGTATATTATAGTGTGTTTCTGTATTTGTATCTATTATTTGGGTACCACTTTACAATAAGGCTCCCCTTATAGATGGCTTATTAATAAGTTGTTAATTCATCTGTAAACACTTTATAAACCATTAGTGTTTATTATGCTTTATATTTGTAAATATTATATTATTGTGTTATACATATCCACAATTATCAAAGGGAGTCTTATTGTAAGTGTAAAATAGTGCACTATTTATAAAGCTCCCTTATGGCATTAATACACATTTATTAGTCATTAATAAATAGTGTACTACGTTTTACACTTTACAATAAGATTCCCTTTGATAATTGTGGTTATGTATAATGCAGCAATGAAGTACAATATTATATGTAAAATTTGTGTTGATGTAGATGTATGTAATATGTACATGAACAGATTTGTCACTATTTGGCAAGAAACTGGACAGTTATGTCTCTTTCTCGTCCTTAAGTAATGCATAATAAACACCTAAGTGTTTACAGATGAATTAATAACCTAACTATTTAAAAGCCATCTATAAAGGGGAGCTTTATTGTAAAGTGGTACCATTATTTGTTTTTCTTTTGATACAAGTCTTGACTGAACTGTAAAGCACTTTGGTCAGCCTTTGTTGTTTTAATGTGCTATACAAATAAATTTGACATTGACATTCTTTACAGGGTCATGGGGGTCACTGGTGCCCATTTCCAGCARTTATTGTGCGAGGGGCAGGGTACAACCTGGACAGGTCGCAAGTCCATCACAGGTTTTCCAGTGGCATACAATTTGTCAAGAAGCATTGTTACAATAAAAATTAATCTACTAAACACAAATTTCCTTACTTTTTGTGCTGTTTAGTTTAAAAAGTAATAACAAAGAGGAATACATAATAATTACAGGTCTTCAAGACATTTTCCAAGTAAACTGTTTATATGAACTATTATTTAAAAAATAAGTGAAATTTAAGTCTTTGTGTTAACATTTTGACACAACATGTCAAAATTGATCATCATTTTTCAAAATGCTATTATATTAGGGGTGGGGGAGTTGGCTCTTGATCAGGTTTTTAATTTTGGCCCCTTGTAAAATGAAGTTTGACCTCTCTAGATTAAAGTCACACAGCTTTAATGAGATGTTAAAAGGATGTGTATAGCTGGAGATCTAAGGTTTAAATATTCCAGAGCAAAATGCCAGTCAGTTGAATTTGTGGCAAAAACCTTTTATTAAAAAAAAGGTCCCAGTATCTCGTTTGGAGTGTTTTGTTATACCTGCACCACATCAGCTCAGAGGTTAGCACAGTTGCTTCACAGCAAGAAGGTCTTGGGTTCAATTCCCTGTTCAGCTCGAGTCTGTGTGGAGTTTACAGGTTTCTCTTGTGCTTGTGTGGGTTTTCTCCAGGTACTCCTGATTTCCACTCACAATCCAAAAATCCTGCATGTTACCTTCAGGCCCAGGCCTCCCTTACAAAACAGATCTGTAATCTCAATGGGATTTACCCAGTTAAACCAAGCAGGGGTAGACATAAGGATATTTAACCTGGTCGTCTGCAAAACATTGATTTTGGTTGTCCAAAAGAATCTCAAGAAAAATGTAATTTAACAAGTGTATTGTTCTGTAGACAAAGTTTATTATATATAATTGTTCTCAGTCAGCCAGGTTGACAAGATCTGCGTGTATAAAACTTCCTCATTCTCTTCTTTGAAATAGAGTGTTTAAGGCTCAGGGATAAAGCAGCAAAAATATTGCTAATAAAATCTAGAGGTTACCCAACATTCATAAACTTCTTTCTGCTCATAGGTCAAATATTTTCACTTAAATAGGAGTATACTGTGTACATGACCTTATTATAAGTTACAGTTTAGTGTTCTGTTCGGCCTTACGAAGTTTTTTCTCCTTTTCATTTTTATAAATGAAGAACACCCGCGACAGAGAACTTTAATCAAGGTCTTTTTTTTTCTTTCTTGGCTGTCCACCGGACAACCAGGAGATATGATCTGGTTGTCCAAAATGAAAATAAGTAGTCTCGGACAACCTAAACAATAAAGATGTCTATCCCTGCCAAGTTATACCAAGCTTTAAGTCTGTTAAGTGAAATTCAATTATATCTACCTCCATACTAATTGTTTAAATAGTCATTATAAATGTAAGCAGATGATTTCATTAGACTTAAAGCTTGTTATGTTTGTTTTGATTCCACTCATTCCTGCATGTTTTGGTTTACTTAAACCACACTGAAGGTTTATGTTTAATCTAATATATTATGTCTAATGTGGTCTAACGAAAAATGTTTACAAAGATGGATAAACAAAACGAGCAAGCGAGCATCAAAACAGCAATTGCTAATTATAGTGTTGAATGTAAACGGAGTTGTGTGCGTTAGCTTGTGATGCTAATAACATAGCCATGCTAACGCTGTTAGCTTAGCTCATCCTTACCCGCAGCGAAATGAAGAGGAGTCGATTTTCGACCAGCCATGTCCTTCGCATTTACATTCACCGAATCCACAAGTCGTTTTACCCGGGACACATCGCCGTTTCGGCAGGCCTCAAACAATTCCCTGAACGCCCCGCCGACACCACTGCTACCGTCGGTGGGACTGGTTGCTCCAGAGCCGGGGGTAGAGACGCTGCTGCCTCCGCCTGAGGTTGTCGTAGTGGAGCTTGCGCTGCTCGCCAGGATCGTAGCTGGCAGGTCCGGGGAGGCCAAAGCCATCTCGATCCCTCCGCTACATTCCCTCTCGTTCTCCGACGAGCCTACGGCCGGGGACGGTAAAGCCATAGACGGTGAGGCCGGCGAAGCGCCCGAAAGAGAGTTGTTTCTCGGCGGAGATTGTAATGTAGTCTGCTGCTGCTGCTGCGAGGAGCGACGAGACACCGCCATTACAGCAGCTCTGCTGGCCACAATAAAAACTGATCTTCCTTTCCGGTGAAAGTGCTCGTGTTTCCTGTCAGCTGCCTGCCTGTTCACACACAGAGGGACACTTCTGTTCTGTGGATTAATCATCCCGTGTTACCCAAAACACCGCGACCCCTTTACTCTTCTCAAGAAAATTATTCCTTTTTGGGGTTTTTTTCTCATGGTTTTGTTTTAAAAAGTTTCAGCCTTTTCTGATATGAGTAAAATGCGTCAATTAGTTGTGCATGATTGTAAATCAAACTGTCTGTTCAACCAGAGGTGATTTCTTAATGCTAAAACAAAGGTCTGACGCACGTTTTTCATTTAATATATACAAATAATATTAAAAATGTTTTTTGTTTTTGCCACGAAGGACACATGATGAGAGAATGCCCAGAGTCTGAACTACTATGGACCCTGTATGGAGCTTCCCATGTGGAATCTGGATTGTCCACAGAAAATCTTTCTGATGGACAAAAGGGCAACACTACAGGGGTCCACGTGAGATATCTGTAGGGTAAACCCAATGTTGCATTTAACAATATACCCAAGGTGCACACAAGTACAACCCCTGGCAAAAAGTATGGAATCACCAGGCTTGGATGAGCACTCATTCAGACATTTCATTCTGTAAAACAAACTCAGATCAAAAACATGATACAGTAATAAGGTCATTCCAAAGTGCAACTTGTTGGCTTTCAGGAACACTCAAAGAAATGAAGAGAAAACATTGTGGAAGTCAGTGAATGTTACTTTTATTGACCAAGCACGGAAAAAATATGGAATCACTCAATTCTGAGGAAAATGTATAGAATCACTCAAATTGGAGGTAGAAAATAAGGACACACCCAGTCAATTCCCTTTCCCTAAATGGACACATGCCTCAGATTAGATCTGCTCGTTAGTCTGCAGTTAAAAACACCTGCAGTCATGACACCTTGGAGGACTGCTGGACGAAGTGGAGTGGCAAGAACCATGGCTCCAACAAGAGAAATGTCYCTTGAAACAAAAGAGAGGATTGTGAAACTTCTTGAAGAAGGTAACTCTTCATTCATGGTTGCTAAAGATGTGGGCTGTTCACAGTCAGCTGTATCCAAGATATGGACCAAATACAAACAGCATGGAATGGTTGTTAAAGCCAAGCGTACTGGTAGACCAAGAAAGACATCAAAGCGTCAAGACAAACAACTTAAGGCCATTTGTCTTGAAAACCGAAAAAGTGCAACTAAACAGATGAAGCATAAATGGGAGTAAGCTGGAGCCAATGTATGTGACCGAAACGTAAGAAATAGTTAAAGGAAATGGGATTTCAATACAGGAAAGCTAAAAGAAAACCATCATTGACACCTAAACAAAAAAGAACAAGACWNYARTGGGCTAAGGAGAGGCAATCATGGACTGTGGATGACTGGATGAAAGTTATCTTCAGTGATGAGTCAAGAATCTGCATTGGACAAGGTGATGATGCTGGAACTTTTGTTTGGTGCCGTTCCAGTGAGATTTATGAAGAGGACTGCCTGAAGAAAACAACCAAATTTCCACAGTCCTTGATGATATGGGGCTGCATGTCAGGCAAAGGCACTGGGGACATGACTGTGGTTAATTCTTCAGTGCACAAGTTTACATAGACATTTTGGACAGTTTTCTCATTCTTTCAATTGAACAGACGTTTGGAGGTGATGCAATAATTTTCCAAGATGGCAATGCATTGTGCCATAGGGCAAAAAATTGAAGGCATTCCTTGGAGAAAGATGCATTCAGTCGATGTCATGGCCTGCAAATAGTCCAGATCTCAACCCAATTGAAAACCTGTGGTGGAAATTGAAATATGCCCGTCTATGCAACTTCTTTGGGCTACTTATTTTAAGTCCCACCCCATCTAGTGGGAAAATGCCATTACATTCCCACGTGTCTGCAATCAACCCACCTGTCCTGCATTCAGCAACCACCTTCGCATTACTAATGCTGTGTTCCAGTTGCAGCAAAACTTGACATTGTGAAGTCGACTGACATCAGTTCAGAGTTGAAAGTGGTCCAGTTTCCAGCATTTTCAATAGTTTCTCTGATGGAATGCAACAATAGCACTCAATGCAAAATTTTAAGTGTATAGTTGGTGTCAAAACATTTCACCAAATAATTGCCATGAAGTACTGACTTAATGTAAGGTAAACAACACAGAACTGTAAAGGTAAAGATGTTCACTCTATTGATGCAAGGAGCAGTTATGTTCAAAAGATTTCACTCTAACTTGGGTTGCTCGACTTTTGTGTTGCACCGACTTGCTGGCTTTAGTTTGTAATTCATGTAAAAGCCAAGATTTGTCCAAACTGCCTGTGGACTTTACTGTATTTTGGAAGGCAGCTATGCTGACCACTATACCACCAATGCACACGACTTTACTGTATTTTGGATTCAATATCGTAATGACACATATCCAGTGGTGGGCAGCACTAATCTACAAATTAGTTCCACTAGCCCTAAAACACTAACTCAAATTTTTAGGTCCCCTAATTTTAAAGCACTTAAAGGTTTAGGAAAAGCTGATTCTAAAGCACTAAAATAACCCAGTCAAGCCATGGACATTCTTCAACAGACAACATGAGTCACATATTGTCATGTTGCTCTCTTAAGACTTACCATTGACATTCCACAGCTGTATTTGGGTTCATATATTGTCAATATGTCACCTAGTGGATAAGTGACACATATGAACAAAATGTATGACAGCTTTCACCTTCAGTTGTTAACATTAATGTTGATCAACAACATTTATAGACAGTGGTGGGCACCAGCAGTGATGGCTCTAGCCATTTTGCTGCCCTAGGCGAGTTGAAGCACACCCCCACCGCCCACTATGTCGCACCCACCCAATTTGAACCCCTAAAAACAAGTTTTGACAGTGTAAGGTACTATGGTAAACTTAGATTTATTTGCTTTCCCAGAAAGCAAATAAATAACAACATTCATATCAACATGTATGGATTGTCCGTAAGTTATAAGGATTTTACGTCATTTTGCAGGTATACAGACGTATAGAGCAATCTTATGGATTTTTTTCAAATCTTAGATTTTTTTCAAAACCTCATTTTCAAATTTATCTAACGTCAGAGCCTGTAGGATGATTTAAAAAATAATAAATAACATTAAATAGCCATCTTTCAACCTGTTCTGCTGGTAGAAATAAGTTTTGAACTTCATTATAGTTTTTTAAGACAAAGCTAATTGAAAGGGGCGCTTAGCAGAGTTACAACCAGGGATTACAAATAATTACCTTTTTCTTCTGCAGTTCAGCACACCCTCCAGCAGATGGCGCTCTAGGCGACTGCTAGTTCGCCTATGCCAAGAGCCGGCTCTGGGCAACAGTCTGCTAAAGTGCAAATCCACTAATTGCGGACCTAAATATTTCGTTTGCGCTTTAGCGGTCATACTAATTTTTATAATTCATTAGTGTATTTGCGCTTTCTAAAATTAAAATGCAGTACCGCTAATAACTAATTATCTACCAGTCATTATTTTGAACAGCGGCAGGTATGGCTGTCAATGAATCACAACAACACACGTGATCTGTCTAACAGCACCCCTCCCGGAAAAACACGCTTATTGGAAAGGTATACATCCTTGCTGAGTGTTATGGTGAACGGGGATGGATATAAAATCCATATGAGCAGAGGCCTCCTAAGTGGGCCAATTGCTCTCCCCAAAAAGACACTAGTCTTCATTCAAACCTTCTCGTCCCTCGGATGGACACAAGGTTAGAAACACTCAGTGTTCTGAGCTTCTCAGGGTCCATAAAGGGGTACCCAAGAATGTTTTTCCTTTGACCACTCAGAGCCAGGCAGTGGCCTAAGTAGTGCAAAGAGGTCTCTAATTCAATGCCACAAGCATCATACAGACTATTGTCATGGATTCCCATCACCATTTTGTGGCAGTTGAGCAGATTGTGYCCAGTTAGGACTCCAACCAGTGTACTTAGAGTTTTCCTTGACAGGGAGATGAGAGCTTTCCCAWACCTTAGATTTGGGCTGTTAATCAGTTCCCGTGCCTGTCTACAGTCTGTCAGCTCCCTCCAGCGGATTGAGTGTTGACGTCTAATCCAGGCCTGTAGGACAGTCCCACAGACTGTTGTTGAGGAGGCTCTGGTCTTTTGAAGTGAGCCTGACTGCCAGCTTTTGCGAGGTAGTCAGCTCTCTCGTTACCATAAATGCCAGTATGTCCTGGTACCCATTTAACAGTAACGCTGTTATCTCTCCCCAGTTGGTTGACTGCTTCGGCACACTCCCAAGCCAGTAATGACGCAAAGTGTGGCCCTCAGAGAGCTTTAATAGCAGCTTGGCTATCTGTTAGGATGAAAATTTCCTTCTGTGTACACTAAAGGTCTTTGAGAGATGCCACACACTGGTGGATTGCATATATCTCAGCTTGAGATACAGTTGCAAAACAACCTAGTGGGTATTTATGCTCTCTCTTACTATGGTTGTGCAAAATAAGCACCCCTGCACCTACTGACCTCTTCAGAAGGGATCCATCTGTAAAACAGTAGAAATGATTGGGAGACATGTCCATCATAGAGAGGTTAATCCAGACAGACCTGTCTTCAATCTCTGTCTTAAAACTTGGTTCAAAATTGCATTTTTGACCATTCTGTCCCCAGGTCCTACAGTTACTGGAACAGCAACAACTGCCCATTCCCAGATTCTAGTGTGCTGTGAGTCAGATGGGTTTTTCCACCTACCAGACTGGCATAGCCTTACTGCACTGGATGCGGCCTCCCCTAAGACATGTAAATCTAGTGGAGCCAGGTCCAGTAGGACTTCCATGGCTGCTGTGGGTGTTGTTCTAATGGAACCTGTGATGCTCAGGCAGGCTATTCGTTGCACATGGGTGAGCATCACTCTTGCCACCCCAACTTGGACTTGAACCCACCACACTAAAGAAGCATAGCATAGCCTGGGGTGGACTATGGCTGTGTAGATCCACCTGATAACCTTTGGGGTAGCACCCCAACAACTACCTGCAATTCTACGGCACTGGTGT